TCAGTCATGACTGAGCGCAGACAAAAAAAAAATTGAAGTGATACCATTTCATGACCGTAAATGGATTACTCCCTCTCAAAAGTAGGGCTGTAAGATCTACATGAAGGGGCATATCACAAAGTCATGAGTGAAACACCCCTTTCTCAAAGCATAAAAGCAGCTTTGTCCTCCAGAAGGTTCAGCACAGATATTTCAAAAGCTTTCCTCATTTGTGTGCATGTACACAGCTGCTTTGTTTCACTGGTGGTCCCAGCATGAGTGTTGTCTGTGCACATACATATAGGGCTCGTTATATATAGGTTGCCACAGCACAAAAGTGCTTTACTAATCATTTTTGAAGATGTATCTATGTGAAATCATCTCATCCTTATGCTGCTGAAGCAACCTACATTATCCTTAGTTCCAGTTTGGAAGTGGTCTTTCCTAGCACAGAACTTGCACTGTGAAGTCTAGGGGACCACAAAGATGAGCTTGGGACACACAGTCAGGGACAGCAATCTGCCTGAAAAGTGTTGCAGATTCCACCCCCTCCCCCCCCAAAATCTGGTAGCTGGGCACTGTGGGCTCCTTGAGCACTAGATACTTGGTCTTTTCTCTTTACGCTGAAATATCAGACTTCCAGAAGGTCAGTAGATCTGTCAGCCAAATTTCCTACTACTTGGTGTGGGGTTGTATGTGCGCATGCACTTGCATAGGGGAGATTGTAAAATATGGAGAACTTTTGAGACACACAAATGTGGAATGATGGGAGGTAAGAGAAGCTACACTTTCCCTGACCAAAATGCTTTGTGGAGAAAATTAGCTTCAGGAGGGAGAAAGGGGGAAAAAAAAAAAATCCAGAGGCACCTATTGGAGCTTTGCTAGCTACCTGAACTGAAAATGATTTTTTTACAAGCATGAACCTCAAAGTTCTCTTTAACAAGCTTTATTATGATGAAAGCAGTAGTGACACAAGAATTCTAAGAAGTAAATTATTTTTAATTTAGAATGAATGGATTTATGTACATTTGGGTGTAGACTTTCTGATTCTCTCACATTTTCACCCCTCTTATTGTGGATCAGAGAGGAAGCAGATCTATTAACTGATAAAATGGAGAAATCTGCAGCAGTAAATTATTGGCACAACTGTTGCTTGAATTCTTATCAGTCTGACAACCAACTCTTACATTAGCACTAAGAGCTCTCTGGCTTGGGCTTCTTTTGTATTCCAGATCAGCTCTATCAATAACTCAGGTAAACTTCTGATTGACTGGGGGGAGGGGGAGATGTTTGACATCCGTACATTGATTTTTTCTTTCTCAGACTAAACGGTCAAATTCCCAAGTGGAGAGAGAGGACAGTCCCGTGAAACATGTTCGTAGATGCTGCCATCTAGACATAGTCAATTTGTAATCTGGACAAGTGCTAGTTGACAGCATCTGTGAAACAGTTTCATAGGACAGGGAGATTAATAATCCTGTCAGAAGAAGCACCCATTAAATAATAAAATAAGACTAAATAGATAATAAAAATTAAGGCTTGAAACCTAACCATGTACTCAGGAGAGTGATTGGCTTTCTTGCTGAGAGGGGACAGTGGGAGGAGAACAGATAGCAGGGAATCATCAATCACTGCCCTGAAATTAGCCCTCATTAAATTGTGTGGGGGCAACAACACTGCCTGACCTCACTACTGAGGTGCAGTAAACTGGGCTATGGGAGCAGCACAGCTTATGCTGATAAACTCCCAGCTCAAGGACAGGAAGGATGCACGTTAATGGTGCCATGAGGAACAATACGTAGAGACAAAACCTTATAAGTAATTGTACTGAGCCTTGCAGAGGATATGGTTGCTTTAATGCTTTGAGAATTAGGGTTACTGCATGCTAACAAAAGATTTTGTAATAGTAGGTGCTGTTTATTACACTTGTTCTCCTGTTGACCCATGATGGTTTCTAAGCTTTTGGCCTTTCAGTGTGATTTACTAACTTACTTATTTATTTTCATTTAATTTAGCAGTAACTTATTGCTTATCTGTATGGGAAGGAGAACTGTGTTTGCTCTAGCCGTAAAATTATTACCAGCGATGAATGTTGAAAATTGTCCTGACTCTGAATATTTTGTTTTGTTTTGCCTACAGGGAAGCAGCACGTGAGTGCCGCAGGAAGAAAAAAGAATATGTCAAATGTCTAGAAAACAGAGTAGCTGTGCTTGAAAACCAAAACAAGACATTGATTGAAGAACTAAAAGCACTTAAGGACCTTTATTGTCACAAATCGGATTAATTTTAGTTCCCCATTTTTGGTTTGTTAATGGGGGGAAAAACTGGTTTGGTGACAGCCAAACAGACAAAATGAACTTTTTATTTTCTAAGCATTTCTTCTTTTTTTTTTACATACACAACTGTCTGAAAGCAACTACGGAATTTGATTCATCTGTGCTTGGCATTAAACTGTGAATGTTGAACACCTGCCTTCACTTCTTCCCCTCCTGAAATCAGTTTCATCACAGTACACCTGATTCTGAAGAAAAAGAACAAATGTCCTCTTCAAGAATTAATAATCTTCATTTGTGAAGTTACTGGAGTTGGGGGTTTCTTACAGTAATTTCAAGAGTCAGCATAAGCGCATCTGAATGCCTATATGAGAGTCACCCTGGACTTCTGCCCTGAAGTACTCAGTGGACCACATATATAACCAAGGTATGATGCATTGAGGCGGCTGTGGTTGTCAAATTATTGCATAATTTCAAATATATGTTAGCAGTTGTACAGTTACAGCTATATGGTGGGATGATGCCAAAGGAGATGTATTCCAGGTATACAGCCATAGAGGAATAGGAGTGAACTGAAGAAATTGAGGAGGCAAGTTGGACAGTTATGAACACAATCCATGTTTTGGCACAACAAACAGTTTCCCTTATTTTCCATAATGTTTTAATAAGTTTCATGTATCAGACTTCTGAATTCAAATGAAAACTATTACCTTTCATATTTGGTTGGGATATGAAGTGGTAGGAAGCAGTAGTGTAGTATGTGTTTAAGATGGGAACATAATAATACATTCACTACTCTTTCATTTTGCTATATCCAAAAGCAAAATTACCAAGATAACAATCAGTAGTATAGTTAGCATAATACATACTTTGGGTAAAGAAAAGGAAACTTACAGCTGCCCTAATTATATCATGCAAGTAATTCTGAAACTTTACCTCTTTCAAGATTTTTAACTTCTCTTGTTTTGCTTAAAATCTCCTTTGATAGAGTATCTTTAAAAAGGAGTAAATTCATTCTCTGTTGCATGATCTGCATCTGTACTGTGGATATGATAAAGAATTTTTTTTTTTTGGCTAAAATCCTACCTATTGTTATATTCAGATGCTGTTAAATTTATCCAGTGGACACCTTTATCAAACATATCTAATGTACAACTCATTTAAGTCGACTGATATGAATATGACTCCATATAACATAAGGTTTTAATAATTATATACACATAAAGTTGCCATAGGCAAAGATTTTAATCAGATTTTGCAGGAGCAAATATAACTGCACCATGAGTGTAGCAAATCTTTTGAAATCATTAGAATTTATTCGATCAAAAAAGTATATCCTGGAGTTGGTAGGAGCTGAGATTGGCATTAAAGTCAGAATGGGATCGTGTGGAGAAAAATGTCTAATCCCAGTCATTATTTCAATGTATATATATACAAGCTATTAAACTTACTTAGTAGCTGTTCTGAAAGATAAAATACCATGGTATATTGGGGAGAATTGATCAGGTGCATTTAACATTGTACAATATTTAGGGGCTAAATCATTTTTAAAAGCATTTTTTCCATGAAAATTAAAAACAAAAAAATAATCTTTTTTATATAGGGACAAATAAACTTAAAAGTTTTTTTTCATTTGTTTATGGGGTAAGTCAAAACCAATTTAGAAAAGATAAATTTTCCACTCACCTTTTAATTTGCTAGGCAAACTTGCATATCCTACTGGCATAGAAAATAGACACCTGAACATTTGTGTAACATATTTATATATGGATTGTGATCTTTCACAAATTGAATGAGACAGAATGGAAGCATATAAATTAATAATTAAGTGCTGCTATTCTGAAAACTTCATTTTCCCACATCTTTAAAAAACAAAGATTCTAGCAAAGATTTGGGAGTATATTATAGAGAGCTGAAATCCACAATTTGTAGCTGCATTGTGAAGTTTGTCCCCCTGTCCCTGAAAATATGGTAGAATCATGAACTCACTGATTTTGCAGAAGTCATTCTTGTAACACTGCTGTCATGGTATGTGGTATTTTTTTCTTTGGATAATTTTGAAAAAGTATCTCGTAAACCTGGCTGTTCTGGGGTCACATAAATGGGTTAACTTGTATAAAAATTATGCAATAATCTAAGATTTGTTTTAAAAAGTTAAGTATTTGAAAAGCAACCACCATAACTCTCTCCACTATTTTGACATCATTTGTAATTATTGGGTCTGATTGTATTTCAGCAGACAAGCCACCAGCGGAATGGGTTATTTGGGGGCTAGGTAAGCTTTTAAGTGCTCTATGAAAGAGCTCAAAAGCACTCTGTGTGCTCTATGAAAAAAGTGCTCTGAAAAAGTGCTCTATGAAAGAGGCTAAATGTAGATCACTTGTACTATCACAGGATCTGTTGTACTGGGTCTATAGTAAATATAGAATTTACATTCTGAGATTTTTCACCAGCAATAAAACAAGATTTCAGTCCATTTTATTTATCCTGTACCAGGTTACTTAGGCATCTGGCATTCCGTATGTAATTTGAATTATGTTTTAATTTCCCAAGAATAGAGCAGGTTGGTTCCATATGTGCTTTGCAAGTAATAGCCAAAATGAACAGAAGATAGTGCTGAAAAACCAACCCTCAGTTTGTATATTGCTAATTTATTAATAAATTTATTGAATAGTTAGTTTCTATTGTACACTTGGCCCCTTTGCTGCATAACAGAAATTTTGTTGAGTTTGTTGACAGGTTTAACTAAAACAACTGGCATAGAAAGGGCTAGCTCCATTATAGTCATCGTACATAGAATTGATTTGAAGTACAGTTTCTATATTTTACAAAAAAAAAAAAAAAGCATTATTCAGGCAGTACAAATATTGCCTGAGGTGCTCTTCTAAAAGATATTCTTGGAAAGGTTTGTGTATAAAGTATGTACATATATAAAATATATATACACAGTATATAATCTATAGCTCTGAGAGCTTTTAAGTCAGGAATGCTGAATATTATAGTATATTGAGGTCAGAAAAAATAGTCTGTATGTGTGCAGATACATGCTTATTGTTTCTTCTCTCTTCCACCCCCCACCCCAAATATTTTGAGCTATATTATTCTGGCGCTTACTGATATGTTGTACTGTTGTTTACTTACCCATTTTCAGTTTATTTCACTGCAGTTTGTATTTGTTATGATGGTGAATTATGAAGTGATAGCAACTGTTTAAAGCTCCTCTTGTTCCCAAGTTCCTCACTTTGTGCTTTGTCTGTTGGGCAGCTATTCATTTAAGGCAAAAACAATTGGAAAACTTTTGGGTTATATGGAGGGAACAAAAGAGAAAAAGGGTTGCTCAGTATTTTATTTGTGTAATTTTACTCTACACTTGAGCAACTTGTAAATGCATTGTAACTTGAATTTGAAAGCACACTTCTACTCAGATTAAGTTTGGTAACTGTACAATATGTCTGTTCTGGAATCTGCAATGTTCTGTAAAACTAAACCAGTATAAAATTACATAATGACAGCTATATCATTTTATAAAAGAGGAGAGCTTTCAGCATAATTATAACTAAGAACTGAAATACATGATCAGCAGATACATATGTTTATTGTGGACATGCACCATTGGGATGCTTCAGGGATGTTTGTTCATGCACATTAAAAAAACTAGCATGTTAAATGAGAGAGATGCTTTCTACTTCTGACATTTAATGTGTGGGAATATTCTCTTTACACAAAGATGCAAATTTTCTACTTGTAGCCTGAAGAGGAATGGCTCAGCAGCAGATACATCTGAGTGTATTAATGTGACTTTAATGTGCTCCTCCTTATGGCAGGCTTAATATCTGTATGCTTGGATCTCATTACTCAATGGACTCTTGTGATAATCCTAAGAGACAGCTGTTTTTCAGAGGCATCTGCACAAGGCAATACCAAAGATTTAGATCTCAAGTTAGGGGGATTCCAATAAGAGAGGCTAATATTTAATTGTAAGAATACAGGTAGTCCTTGACTTACGGCCACAATTGGGACCAGCATCTCCATTGCTAAGCAATGTGGTCGTAAAGCGAGATGTTGGATGACCACATTGCTTAGCAACAGCAATCCTGGGACTCCCTGTTGCAGTTGTTAAACAAATTCTGCTGGTCGTTAACCAAGGACCCACCCCAATCCAAGCCATTCCGGGCTTGGTCCCTCCCAGCCCCAAGCCTCAAAAAGGTAAGGGATTGCCTCCAACTCCCCCACTCTTCTACCTCCCCCCCATCTCTGCCCTTTTGGCCACCCAGAACCTTGCCTTGCGGGGTGGTAAGCAGCTCCAGAACTGCATGGCTCTGGGGCTGCTTGCCACACCCTGGGAAGCTGCAGCCGCTCAACCCAGTCCTAGCCACAGTTGCCCTCACCACCCTTCTCTCTGAGATTCCTGTGCTCCAGCACCCCACCTTCAACATCTTTGGCTCCTGCTGCTGACAAGGTGTGCCTGGCCTGGTTGCTGGGCTGGGGCTGGGCTGCACACTGTGCTGCAGCTCTGAGGCTGTAAAAAGCCCCTTTGTGGGATTTCCCCCTTTCTGGGCATGGGAGCAAGAGGATGGCGAAGGTCAGTTGGGGTGGCATGGCAGCAGGGGGAGATAGGCAGAGGGGGGGAGTTGAAGTGCCCTTCCAGTCATAAGTGCAGGTGGGCTGCCAGTTTTGATCACATGACCGCAGGGGCACTGCAGCGTTGGTAACTTTAGGGACCGGTGGTAAGTCTCTTCATTCAGCACCACTGTAACTTCAAACGGTCGCTGAATGAATAGTTATAAGTCGAAGACTACCTTTACTTGAAAGAGAAAGGAATTCTGTATTTTACCTAGGAAATGAGCAATATAACTAGATTTTTTTTTTAAAGCACAATATTTCCCAGTGCCAACTGAGAGGAGATTGTATTAGTTACCACATGTAGTGTTTCTAATTAAATTGGAATTTCTTATGTTGTATAAATCTATGTGTGCAGATGTTATGCCTATTGATACATGTACAAGACACTGAGCACCCAAAGAGTTCTGAACACTTTGAGAAGCACAGCCAGCTTTGGACTGTTAAATAAATAAATGGTGCTGAAACTTTAGCAGTCTACAGTTTTGTAATAACAATTTTCATTTTGAACATAGCATGAACATGGTCAATAATTAAGAATTCTAAATATTGCAGCCTCAAGTGTAATTTTAAAAAAATGCAACTGTAGCCCAAAACAAGCAGGCACACATTTAAATACAAATGTATTTTGGTATTGCAGGTACAGGTTCCTACTGGCCATTTCAAGCCTTTTAAAAAATTGTCTCCAGAGTTAGGAATTCTTGAGGTTCGTTCAGGATTGTTATGAATAATTGCACCTTGTGTACGTCATCAAGGAACCTTACACGTCTTTTTGCACCCACTTGTCCACTTACTCAGGGTTACTGTATATTTTAGCATCGCTACTTTGTAGCAATGTTATATATCATTTATTTCTGCAATGCTAAGCTATAGAGTATGTGTCTGGAATGTCAACAGCTTATCTCAGCACAATGTTTCAGAATACATGGCTGAAAAAACAAACCTCAAGGTCTTTTGGAATTGTAATGCATGGTGAGAGCATCTTAATTTTGCATATGCACAGAATACAATTGAGCTGTGTTTACATGTGGTTTTTTTTAACCCCACAATGAACCCAGAGCACTTCAACACTCCTATGTATCTGTGGAGCCTCCTCACTTGAATGCCATCTATTAATTGACCTGTTGATCATGTAGCAAATCAAACATTGGTGCATGCCTTAGTTTTCCAAAACAAGTATTTGCTGTACTTCAAGAGAGTATTGTATTACATTGTTACCTGAGCCTCAGACTTAGCCAGATATGTTACTGACATTCTGAAAAACAGGATTCAAGAATAAAACAAGCTGGTTGTAATCAAAAAGTTCATAACAAAAACTAAGGGATAGTTTCAAAATGCTTTCTATAAGTTGTACTTTATCCAGGTGCCACTCCATTTTTGGGTCATGGGGTTATTTGTGAAACAATAAATGAAATGTTAAACCTTTAATTCCATTTAAGATTTTACTATTCACATATATTTCATGTTCTATTTTGAGGAGCACTAAGAAATAGGGAAGAAAGTTGTGCAACTTCAGATAAATTTATTCTTCTTGTGTTTGGATCTCAACTTCACATGAATGTGAACTTTCTTTAGAATATTGTGGGAGCAGGGACAGCTGTGCTAGTTTTATTTAATAAAATTTATCCTCCCTGTAACTGATTCTTTATCCAAAATAATCAGCACAAAAACAGGGTACCGAACTTTTAAAATGTTTTTATTACAAATTAAATTACTAGGCAGAGAAATATGAACTAGAAATGGATTAAGTTAAATTGAGAATTCCTTATTATTTTGAAATATCCCAGTTTTAATTTTGTAATTTATCCAGTTGTATTTTGTTGTTTTTTAATGTACTGAGTTATACTGCATTTTATTAACATTATGTACATATTAACTGCTTTGTGTTTCAGATGCTAGTAATTGCTTTGTATATTAAAGTGATCTTTGTGAATTTGTGAAATACTGTCATAAAAGTGCTTTTTTCTTACTGTAAAGTTTGTGGTATAAACTGTCATAAAACCCTTTTTACACATCTGTGTGCAGATACATAAACATGCTTTTAAAATCTTTTTGAAGTCTCTTTTTTTAAATGGGATAATATATTTAAATGGTATCACTTCTGCTGTGTTTGTCAATTAGTCAGTTGAGAGCAAAATATAAAAAGATTATGTTGTGTAGTTCTTCAAGCAGGAGTGCAAAGAATGTAGTTGGCGCACACCACCTGCAAAGCTCCAAATGCTTTGCCCTAATTTGGCACCTGCTGTTTCACAATTGCATCTTTTTAGTACCTGCTTTCTTCTTTCACTAACACTTTTTGCCACCCTGTCTTTTCCCTGCCGCACTGCTGCCCTGTCTTGCATCCCACTATCCTTTCCATGCCACATTTCACCCCCTTCCCTTCTACTCCTTGCCATACTCATTTAAATGTGCATATATGTGAATGCATGTGAGCATGTCTGTTCAGCTTTTAATACATTTAATGTGAATAGCCCTCAGAAATATATGGCCTCAATCTGTTGGAATTTGCACACCCCTGTTCTGGACCATATATTTATTATTTCTATTGCACAAAAGAGAAAAACTAACCATTTTTTCTAATCAAAACAATACCATTATTATGGGATGCTCAGATAACTGAACCCATCTACCAGAATATATAAATATAGGGTGCTCTGCTAAATATAAAAATTCATAGAGTTCTGCAGTAGGAAGATCTTTAGTGTTAAACTGGCTGTCCCGAAACAGTATTTCATCAGTTTTTTAAGGGCTTTGGCACTCAATTGACCCATGAAAGAACTCTGAACTTCAGCTCAAACTAGGTTTGGCTTCTAGAATGAACTCCATGCGCAAGTAGTTCCTCTCCATATGGATTCCTTCAGATTGGAGAAATTAAAAATAACTGAAAATTACCATTGTTCTCATGCCTTAAAAGAACAATTTGGTTTTAAGATCCCTTTCTCAAAATAGGTTTTTAGACAGTACATTCAGAAGGTGACTTTCACCCACATAACAGCTTCTGTATAATATTTGCTAGAAATGTGAAACTATGGCTCTTCAGAGACACAATTGGGGCTAGTTAAAGATTCTGCTGTCCAACTGGTGACATCAGGGACTTGTTTATGTTACTGATTTTTAATATTTCAATTTCATATGTGTAAACTGCTCAGTCTTAAGAAAAGGAGTGGTAGATAAGTCAAAATCATCTGTCAGCCATCCATGTGATCCCACTGAGATGCTTTGTTAGTGCTGTGCAGGTCTGGATGGGGAAGAACCCTAACCCTAAGCCCTGGCAAGACTGAATGGGGGATGAGTTTTAGGGTCCCTGTGATTTTCTATGGATAACTCTGGATGGGGTCATGCTTCCCCAGGCAGAGTTGGTGTGCAGTCTGCAGGTTCTAGATTCATAGCTCCTGCTTGGGGAATAGGTGGCAACTGTGTCCAGGAGGGCCTTTGCACAATTACATGTATGCCAGTTGCACCCGTTGCTAGATCAGGAAGCACTGCTTATGGTCCCTTGTGCCTTAGTCACTTCCCAACTGGACTATAGCAATGTGGTGTTCATGGGCCTTGAAGAGCACTTGGAAGCTTCAGCTGATCCAAAACACACGAGCACATGCAGTATTGGATGCACCACAATATGCCTACGTGGCCCCCTACTAAGCTCCCAGTGGGCTTATGAGTGCAGTTGAAGATGCTGGTTGTCACCTTTAAGGCCCTGCATGGCATGGAGCCAGGTTATTTGCAAGACCGCCTACTTCCAATGGTTTCTGCCCGTCCCACTAAATCAGGCAGAGTGGGCATGTTCCAGGTCCCATCCATGAGGCAATGTCATCTGGTGGGCTCCAGGAAATCAATATTTTATTACAGTCACAGACCAGAATTACAAATAAAAATGCATGAAAAATGAAATAAAACATAATATATTACAGTTAATTTGCCCATCAGTGGGCAAAGTCTGCCTAATTTTACAGACAGTGTAACAAAGTTTAGCTACATTCAAAGAAACTGAATCATACTGATCAGATAGCAGCAACTGTACATAAGATAGATCAGGATTTCCCAGGTATTTTACCAAATAGGGTTATAAAATGGGTCCGTGAGTCCTTATAGAGTACAGTACAGCAGGACATGAGCTGTAGTTTCAATAGCCCCTTATCCACAGGGGCACAATCTCAGCTCATAAGGAACTTTTTTGTATCGGCCCTCCAAAACTGCTGTGGGAATAGCATTACAGCATGCTAGAGTTAGTGCCCTTTGGAATTTGGAGAGAGTTATGTAAGTATCTTGCTGGTTTATAAAAAAGGGCTTGACTGCTCAAAAAAACATTCTTAGGTACAGCAGACTGGTCCTGTTGGACTTCCAGGTCTTTGGTACATTGTTTAAGTGCACGCTCATAGCCCATCATTAGGAGCACCTCCCTGGAGAAGCCAAGATGTTGATGTTTTTGTGAATAGTCCTGAACCATACTTATAATTGCCCCAGGAAATATGCCTTGTTGGTCATGGAGAACTTTCAAAAGGCTATGAAGACCTTGCTCTTTCCCCAGCGACCAGGGCGAGGATATCGATGGAGCTCTGATGGGGGTAGTTTTATTTATTATAAATTATTATATAATACAGTATCATAATTTACTTTAACATTATTATAATTTATTTATTACATTGATAATGTAACGTTCAGGGCCTCAACCCAGTTTCTTTTGGGTTGGTTATGTATAATTTGGTTATGGTGTATTTCTGTTCACTGCCCAGAATTCCTTGAGTAGATGAGCAGCTATATAAATTTGTTAAATGAACAAATCTAAACAAGAAAACCTTGTATAAGAAACCATATATTTCTAGGTAACAATGTATTTCAATAGATGCAGCAATGACCCTTCTCCAGACTCCACTCTACTTCCCATGAAGAGATGATAGAGCATTAAAAAAAACTAAATACAAGAAAAACAGTCACTCAGTGAAACGTGGCAACAATTGATTAGTGCAGCATGTGCAGAAAAACCCATATCACTCCTCACCTTTCTGCCTGCCTGTCTTGACCTTATCAAATATTGGTTGCTGTCTGAAGGACCATTTTCAAACTCTATATATGTGCAATGAGACATCTGCCTTTGAAATTGAGCTTAAAATGGCTGAAGGCTTAATCTCTCAGTGGCCTCAAGTGACTACTACTGAAATTACAGAACTAATTAAGCAGTTTAACCCTGGTATAATGCACCAGGCAAAGTCTTTGTCATAGTTATACACTCCAACATGGACTAGTGGGTCCGGTACTCGCTTCGTTTACATTTATTGCCTTCCAAAGTGATTATTTCTAAAGATTGGGGCCTTGCCTTAATAACCCCCATTTATAAAAAAAGTTATCAGAATCTACCTGCCAATTACTGAATCATCAGCCTCCTCAGAATCATCAGCAACATGCATGCTAAGCATCTTGCTGTTAAATTCCTGGATTGGATGGACTCAGAGAACATATTAGCTATGGAACAAATTGGATTTAGAACAGAATGCTCTATATTTTCCAGTTCTATAACATCTGGCAGAAAAGTATACCTCCAAGCCCTGGGCTTCACTCTATACAGCTAAATGCAAGGTCTAGAAAGGACATAGTGGATGATTAGAATACAAAAGATGGAGTGGGGGGAAGGTTGGGGGGGTTGCCCATTTTCAGTTCAGGCTAATCAATTGGAGAGGCAGCTTTTGGGAGCTTGCAACTAGAGCAAGCAAACAAGGAAAATTTGATGGAAGTTTGGCTAGGGGAGTCGGCAAGGAAAGCTGCAGGATGCAAGCAACGTGCATATCAAGGGAAGAATCAAGATCTGCTAAATGTGCAGAACACTTGCTTTCCTGCCTGAAAAGGACCCCAGTTGTACCTGCTGCAAGTACAAGCTTGTTTTCTTATTGGAAAAGAAACTGAAGAGGCTTGAGTTTCTGCACTTACATGCATCAGGGAAGCTGAGAAGTTCCTGGACAGGATGGCTGCAACTCTCCAGGAGCGGCAGAGAAGTGAACACCAAAGAACAAGAAAAATGCCCCTTGGCATTGGCAAACAAATGGAAGTATGTAGTCCAAAGAAGCAAGAGAATCAGGAGAAACTTCATGCTAGCAGAGCAGCACCGGGCTCTCCCACTAGAAGATAATCAGCTGCCATGTCAGAGGGTGGGTCAGGATAGGAGCTGATACAGACACACACACACTACAGTACAGTACTGGATGGATGGATGGATACCTATACTAATGAAGTAGTGTGATCTAATAATGTATACAAATAAAAATATTATTTACAATCAGTGTATTTCTATGTATGTACAGAATAGGATGAGAAATATAAGAAATCAAAGTCTTAACTTCTTTAATGTTCCTCCCCCTTATGTCTCTTTCCCTCACTTTCTTCTTGTAATTTATTACGGCAGCTTCTCCCCCTCCTTATCTCAATTACTAATACTTGAACGTCTGAGTTTTCTCCTGGCTGCTAAACAAAGCCATCAACTCGCAAAGTTTCACCATCCAGCATTTGAATCTCAGGACAGACAACATAGTCCATCTGCCTGGTGTTTCCACACTCTCACAAGCTGTCCCAGGCTTTTCCTCCGTCTTCTTCCACATCACAAGGTCGGAATCTCTGGATTTGGGAGGCTGAGTTGTTCCCCTACTCCATTCCACATTAACCATATGGTATCTTCTCCAGCAGCCTGTCCTACAGCATCTGAAATATAAAAATGGCCCTTCCTCTGCTTTTCCTTACTCTTTTTATACAGTATTCTATATCTAAAGCAGGTACAAGGCACTTTATAGGTGCATTCCAGATTTTTTTCCCCTTTTCTGCCTATCTGCTCTTGTCTCTGAGTCATCTGCCTTCCCTAACAAAAATCCATGACCTTGGCATAGACCCAACTGCTTCCCTCCAGCTGGGCATTTCACCCTGCCACAAACTGTACTGAGAAAGAAGAGACATGTCGGAGTAGTTGACAATTCCCTGCCAAGTGGAATCAAGTTGGCTTTGTAGACCTGATATGATGTTGCAAGAGGCATGTTGCAAGAGGCATACCCATATCCAGAATGTGACAGAGAGATTACCAAGAATATTCAAACCCATCAACAACTATCCCTTCGTATTGTCGAAGGCTTTCACGGCCGGCATACGATGGCTGGTGTGGGTCTTCCGGGCTGTGTGGCCGTGTTCTTGAAGTTTTGTTTCCTAACGTTTTGCCAGCACCTGTGACCAGCATCTTCAGAGTGCAGGAGCACAGACAGAGTGCAGGAGCACAGACAGA